CGTAGATTAACAAGAAAGGGAACATGTATATTATTTATACATTAACATCCTCCATCAGACAAATTTGTTGGATTAAATGTGTAGACCGAATATAAACTCACTCATTATGTATCGAAATTAATTAACAAGAAAAACAATGACTTCAATGAAAAAACGAGGTTTGATTTACTCCATGCTTTTAGTTCGAACAAGACTTGTTTCTAAAGTCATTCAATATCATCATATTTTAGATCAATAAATATAGATTTGATATTTTATGTTAAGTTGTATATCACTAATTTGAATACACGATAATGATCAAAAGTTAAAAAACTGAATATAACTCAAAGGGTTCTATTTAAAAAAAAAAAAAACAATACAAATTGCATGTAGAGTAGAAAAGAGCATCAAGGGAGAGTCTACCATGGCAAGAGATTCAAGAGGGAGGAAAGATTAAGAGAGGCCAAGGAAAAATATCATACGAACATCCAATAAGGGAGAAAAACTTTATTCTCGGTTTTTATTGAAGATATTAGTCCATAATTAAAATATCACCATAAGATAAGTGTTTCTCTAATTTACAATGAGTAAATAATTGTTTTATTTATGGAAAACAAAGAGAAACTAAGAGCATTATTTCGAATTTGTGAGATTAGGGACGGTTATAGAAGCGAAAAGAGTGGTTGAAAGAGCAGATGATATTAAGCGAAAAGAGTGAGAGGATATTAGTCATGTTATTAGGAGAGAATAATAAAGAGATGTTTTAGGAAAAGGTTAGAAAAAACGAGTTTAATTTGATGGAAAAGGATGAAAGGATTTGTGAAAAACATAGAAAAGATGTCAGAAGGTAATTTTTTGACTTGTAGAGGTTTGGTAACAAACTAGCAAGCATTCCTCTTTACTTTTCTTAATAATTATAGAGGAAATTTGATGATGAATAAAAATAAAATTTTATTAAATTTCAACAAACTAAGTTTTTAATATGAATTATGAGTAAACTGAGTTAAATTAATTTTATAAAAAATTCGATTGATTTAAAAACGAGTCTATTATCGATAAATTTATCTCAGATTCGAAATAAAAATTTAAATTTTTTTATCAATAAAATACAACAAGCCTTATAACACCATGCGATGTTAATTTATTCAATGAGAGATGTTGAGGGACACCTTCATAGAAGTTCTTATGCGATGAATGAAGTATCCTTGACTATAAACTGATTTTAGCAGATGTGCTTAGCAAAATCAGTTTTTCGATGTTCATCTATTTATTTTTAACCTTTTTAAGTTCATTCCATCTTTAATTCGGGATATAATGATTTTGATTATCTTGGGGTTGCATTATACTTAAAGCTATTTCCAAATCAATAAAGTTTATAACAAAAAATTTTCAAATTAAACACACACACGCACATATATATATATATGTATAAAGTTAAACATGACAAACACACAAACATATACATATATTATGTAAATGCATAAACCCTTCTTTTTTTTTTCTTTTGCTTCAAAAACATGTCACAGCCCACAGTTTGTTTACCTAGGGACATGCTACAGATTTTACTCACGTTTGTCGTCTAAAAACAAATATATAGTTTATGTATATATGTATCATGTAGTCATTAATGTTATATAACATATTAAGGTGTTAACACTTTTTCCATTAATTTATAATATATAGCTAGAAGAGTACCAAAAGTACTTCTGTACTCCCTCTCTCTCTCTCTCTAGGTTTATTCTTCAACTACACGTGTGGTTAGAGAGAGAGAGAGAGAGAGAGAGAGAGAGAGAGAGAGAGAGAGAGAGAGAGAGAGGAAAAATTATTATGTGAAGTGGAAGCAAAATGGTTTGTATTATTACCTTGTGAGTGAAGAAAAATGCATCGATAAAGACAAGAAAGAGTCAAACACAAGAAGACCAACCATCTGATCATCTCAATCTCAATCTCTCCCATCGACGATTTAATATAAGGAGGTCCCCCTCCAAGCCGTTTTACACTCAACCAACAAATACACTTCCATTTATATATATATACATTCACATACACATATACACAACTCCATTCTCCATATATAATTCATTTTCTAAAGCAAACCCCACAATCTCCATCACCATCATCATCATCACCATTACCTTCCCATCAAGCTTTCTCTCTCTCTCTCCCTCTATCTCTCTCTCTCTCTGTGTCTATTATAGGCCAAACCCATATCATTTTTATTACTCATATATACATATATATCATTCTCTCATCTCCTCATACAACTTACCCGCTACCCAGATCAGATCCTAGACAAACTAAAGAAAAAGAATACATATACATCTATATCCATAAACATCGACCCATGATGAGGAAACCAGAAGAGAAATTAGGTGGAGGAATTTATAGTAATGACAAGATGAACAAACTGAGAAAAGGTTTGTGGTCGCCTGAGGAAGATGAGAAGCTTGTGAATTACATGTTAAGAAATGGACAAGGTTGCTGGAGTGATATTGCCAAGAATGCAGGTCTGTTGAGATGTGGGAAGAGTTGTCGTCTTCGTTGGATTAATTACTTGAGGCCTGATCTCAAACGCGGAGCTTTTTCTCGCCAGGAAGAAGATCTCATCATCCATTTGCATTCTCTTCTTGGCAACAGGTGTTTCTTTTTTTTCTTTTCCATCTCTTTCTCATTAACCAAAAAGTGTTTTTGTCATATTCATGGCTGGTTAAGTAGTTAATTGATTTAATCCTTGGCATTATCAATTGAATGGTGCATAGACTTAGTTACTGAGTACTCTATATTAATGGAATATGTAACACTGACAAACTTGTCATTGATGGAAAAATCAGTCGGGCACTTGTCTTTGAACATATACATACATATATATATATGTATATGAGTGTTATGGGTCAAATAATTCAAACTTGTCAACATTTAAAATCATTATTATTAGCATTTAAAAACATTTACACTCAATCTTTGAAACCTGTTACGGCTTGGATGCTTTGCATTTCGACAATCCTTAAAATGAATTTTTACTGAACAAATTATTCTTTCATCTCAAATATATCCCTTTAAGTTTTTTAATTACCATAGATTTAAGTTTGTGAATCGTATATAGCTATAGTGAGCTATATATATACTTCACCAGTTTTACTCTCAACTAGCAATCCGTCTTTTGTTTATAAATAGTATTATTGTTTCTGAATTCAAGATAATTAATCATTTCTTGGATTTAAATTGATGAAACATCCATGCGAAGCATGCATGCATGTTATATATATATATATACATATACATACATATATATGTTAACCCTCAACTATCTATCAAATACTCAAACTAAAGAAGTAAATAAACATTTCAGGTGGTCACAAATTGCTGCTCGCCTTCCAGGAAGGACAGATAACGAAATAAAGAATTTTTGGAACTCGACATTGAAGAAAAGATTGAAGAATAACAGCAACAACAGCACTACATTTTCTTCATCCCCAAACAACAGTATTACTACTGATCATGATAATTCTTCTGATCATGCCAGAGACCAACATCATCATCTTCTCATGGGAGGATCTGCAGAATCAGAGATGATGTCCATGCATAATACTAACGATCATCATGATATGATGATGTCAATGTGTATGGACTCGTTATCATCATCCTCATCATCATCATCTGCATGCATGCAACACCACAACATGGTTAATCTTGCAGCCAGCAGCAACCAATTTGATCCTTTTTCAGTGATCGAAAATCGGTATGATCATCACATGATCACAGGTTCATCGTGCTATTTCGATGTCAATGCATGTGTTGAAATAGGAGATGGTGGTCATCATGATGATCATGCCATGACATATGGGGATTATTATGGGATTATGGAGTCAAGTAAGATGATGGGATCATTAGAAGGAGAGCTTTCTCTTCCTCCATTAGAGGTAGAGAGCAGAAGCAACATTAAAGACAATAATAATAATAATAAGAATAATAATAATAATAATGAATATATTATTATTAATAATGCTGCTAATAACAGCATTATTGATAATTTGAAAAGTCATAACAATAGTAACTTGAACCTTAATAATAACAGTCTTTGCTTCAATAACACTGATCATCAATATGGGGATGATCATAATAACATGTTTGGGATCATAGAAAATCATCATTTCCCAGCAGAAAACTTAAGAATGGGAGATTGGGATTTCGAGTCTTTAATGGAAAACATTTCCTCTTTTCCTTTCCTTGATTTCCAAGTTGAATAGCTTCTGATATCTCTCTCTCTCTCTCTTTCTCAGAAGCACTCAAATCAAGCCATGTCAATAGGAAATTTTGGGCAGATATATATAATCTCTTCTTCTTCTTCTTCTTCCTCTTGTTCGAGTTCTAGTAATTGAATTTCCTGGATATCTTTTTGGGTTTCTTGTCACATATAAGCCATTTTCTTTAATTTCTACTTCTTTTTATCATAATTTCTTCTTTTATTCTTTGATTTTTTTTTCTCTTTTTTCATGGGTCTCTTTGATGAGTAGTACTCTTTCTTTTTGCTTTCTTATACACATTCATATAAATATATACATATACTTCCATGTGCAGTAGAGTTGGAAATCTGCAATAAAGGATTGTATTTAAGGAGGAGATGTAATAATTTTCTTGTACGTATTTGAGTTGTAAATTTCATCATTGTAATTGGGGGAGGGAGTAGAGGAATTGGTTCAATAATCACTATCATGTTGTGAAGAGAAATGTGAATAGATTTTACAGTGAAGTAAATGTAGCTAGAATAAAATTAATAAACAGAAAAAACTTTACTTGGTGAGATTTGTAGTTTTTCATGTGCAAATATATATATATATATATATTTATATACACATATATATATATGTAATACAACATTATATAACACAACATTATAATTGAAAGAGAGAATAATTATGTGGAGGTGGAGGTTGTTATCAGTGGGAGTTGATGATGAGATCAATCGGATGTAACACACATTGCATACATATATACATATAATATCTATATATATGTATATATGTAAACTCACGTTAACAAGAAACAAAACATTATTGGTCTTGACATGACTTGGACTTTGCTAATTCATGCATCTCATATATATCCTACCCAGCTAGCTTGCTAAGTAAAACAACTCTACATTAACTATATATGTTTCTTCCATCTTTTTTCTCTGCTCATCCTGTCTCATCCAATTCAAATTAATTATTAAACTAACTACCTAGCTAGCTCTACCTATATGCTCTGCTCAATATATATATATATATATAAACACATTATATGAATATGTTGTGTTGAACTTGGGAGGATAAATGGATAATCAAAAAAAGAAAAGTCAAGATTTTATCAAATCGAATATGTCGGGTATATGGTTGATAGAGAATTTGACAAATAAGGAATCTGAATTTACCAAGCACGTAGATGTCGGCAATATATATATATACACACACACACACACACACACATGTATGTTGGTAAGACTACAAGTTGTTGTTGGGGTCAAAATGCAAGTTACTTAATTTTAAGAATATATTGAGAACTTTGAAAAAATAATATCACACTTTCATTTGATGAAAACGAGAATACAAATACAAAAGGATACATAACCTATATATAAACAATTACAACCGTCTATTAATCTTTCTCTTCATTTCATTTTAACGTGAAGTCATTTAATTTTCTTTTTTCATAACCTCCCATTCATTCCATAAAAGAAAATTAATTAATATTCTAACAACATATATATATATATATGTGTGTGTGTACTTCAGCATTAAACAATTAACTACCGAGAAAGTGGCTTGAAAAAGTATTATCAAGCCTCTTAGACACTATATAAAATAAACAAAAAATTAAAAAATCAAAAGATCCAAGAAAATGAGCATATGAAAGTGCTCGAAACTATGTGTCTAGACTCACATAAGTTATACTAACACTTTTTTTTTTTGCTATAAACGGCAAAAAAGAAAATGAAATAAGTATTAGTACTCAGGTTGTAATACCTGAGACCGAAAATCGGTCTGAGATAATTATTCTTATTTATAATAAATTATATAAATAATTAATTTAATTTATTTTAATTTAATTTTATTGAATTTTTGAAAAAAAAAATTGAATTAGGGAAAAAAATGAAAATAATTTTTTAAAAAATGGGTGAAATTTTGAATTCAGGAAGTGTTTCTAAAAGAAAAATTGAAAATAAGGGATTAAATAACAGGAAAAAAATTTAGCCATATGGGATGAGCCGGTCAGCAGCCCCAGTGAAGCAGAGCATGCCACGTGGCAATCCCGCTGGCATCGGCACCACATGGGAGGCCACGTAAGCGATCCGTGTACCTGGCGATTCTATGGTTCAAATCTCATCCCGCGCGCGTGAACGGCTTAGATGCATTTTCTCTTTAAACGTGATCGGACAGTCAGATTCAATTCGATCGTGCGGCCTAGATCGACACGAAGTGATTATTTAAGCATCACGTTCCAAGGAACTCTCACCTTAACCGCACCAGCCCTCGCCAAATAAGAAGAACCAGAGGCGATCACCGGACAACGTCGCACCTGAACCACTGTTGACCGCCAAAAAAGGTAAAAGTTTCCTATTCTCGCTCGGAATTCAATTTCGAGTCTCCATGTGGCCATATCAGGGCAAAATGGACGACGGGTGAACCGAAAACTACGAGTAAAGTCTAGCAGAGCCACCGCGACCAAAACCCAAAATCCTCTCTGATGACCCCATTTTCGTTTCCTGTTTCGTAATATTCTTTTACTATTGTATTCACCATCTCTTTCTGGTGCAAGTTAGCCGAAGAAGAAACACAGCCGCAAAGGAGGACTGGTAGAGCCGACGCACCCTGAGACCTCTTTCTGGTGCAGGTTAGCCAAAGAAGAAACGCAGCAGCGAAGGAGGACTAGCGGAGTCGCCGCACCCTGAGACCTCCCCCCCTACCCCCTAATAGGTTTCAGTTTTTTGCTTCTTTCGCCCAACTGAGGCTTCCTAATGTATTTTTTTTTAATAAAAATACGTGTAAAACTAGCCAAAACTGGCTAAAACCAACCAAGTTGAGATAAAATGCCAGCATGGGTGGCAGAGCCGATGTTGGAGCACGGTGGCAGCGCCTTGTTGGAACCCTAAAATTGGCTGAAAAGGTTTTTCAACATTGATTTTGGATTTTTGGAGTATTTTTAGGTACGTAATGAGTATTTTGATTTTTACAGAGAAAGTCAGGAAATTCGGGGTCCATCAGAAGGCATAGCAGATATCACGACGCTTCGAAATATCGATCCGGTAAGAATCCTTCACCCTATTATTTATTGTGGTAAATGAGGGTTAATAATCAATAATCTTGTATTTTGTAAAAATTAGAAAAAATTATAACAATAATTATAGGTCACTAGTAGAGCCGAGAATTTGGTCAATGTACAATTGCCCTAACTTGTCTGTGTTTACCTATTTATCTTTCCTATATTGCCTAAATTACTTATTATCCGTCGTGTAATTCAAATTATTATTTTGAATTATTTCTTGTTTATTGATTGTGTTGCCTAATCATGATTTCCTTGATCTAATTGATGGATTAAAAATAAAGGTCCTAATTATGTGTCTTAATTGTTATACTGTATTGCTTACTTAGATGTCGTTTAGATTAACATGTAAATATGAAATAAGATGTTGGTATGTGATGGGTGGTTGTTTTGTTGATGAAAATCTATATATGAAAGACTTACTGTATACCCTGAAAAAAGTTGGACGGACCCGGTACATAGGGAACCCTACAGTGGACATTACTTTAGTCGGACGGGATTGAGAGGTCGCATATTAGAAATGTTTGAGAGATATGGTTTACCTTCATATTGGACAGAGTATCGAGACGATGGTGTTTTTGGCGCCCATTTTTCGGACGGGATACAGGAACGACTGAGTTAATGGTCAAATTTAGATGTAGGGTTCACAAGTAGGGGGATATCCCTATGGACCCCCAGAGGTTCCAGTATGTAAGTTAAAATGGAGAATTATTGATTTTGTTCACTTGTACATGAAATTAAAATGTTATCTAGTTACTTGTCTTCATAGATTGATTTTGAAAAACTCATAATGGTAAGTATGGAATAAATATTTTAAAGTTGAATGAATTTACTTAAATTAAGGGGTCCATTAGTTTTTTTTTTTATTTTTTTCAAAATTTAATTTTCTATATCAGTTATTAGTGTGATATTCTTACTGGAATAATATAGTTCACCTTTTTATTAACTATTTCAGATCAAGAATACCAAAATCTAAATTCCGATCAGCAAGAGGGTTGTGAGTAGTTTACCTCCTGGACTCCCTTCAAGTACTCATGGAGGTTAACCCCCTAGGACATTTATTTATTTGTTTTTAATCATGACTTTGCTTTTTTTATGAACTATTGTAGTAATGACATTTTAGTAGTCCTATTGGGCATTCTAATTTACTATGTAAGGAATGAAAACCCTAACTATATTGTTTATTTCTGCAATTAAAATATAAATTCGTTTTATTTTAGTTTTCGGGTCTTTACAGTTGTTATCATAGCTGCATTACTCAGAACCATTCTTTACACAAAGAATTAAAAATACTAAAATAAAAACTCTCACTCAACCATTTCTTGTGAAATGCAGGTGCAAAAATACGAGGAAAGGAAGACCTCCACTAAATAGAGCAACCCGGGATGGGTAATTTCGAGAGGATGTCGATCAACTCTTTAAGATTCTAGAGAGATTCATCTCTGCCCAGCAGGCTCGAGAAAAAAGGAGGGAGCTGTCTGACCCTCCACCACTACCACAGTTTGAGTCACCATTGCAGTGAAAAGATCAGGTACCACCCCGATACAGCCCTGCTCCTCCACCATATCATCCGGCATCGTCGCAGTACAATCTAGTGCCCCCACCATATAAGCAGGTGTCGTCATAGAGCCACTCGACCCCTCCCCAATACAATTCAATCACTCTTCAACGGGACTCGATTTCACCCATAATGGACCTAGGTTACATTAAAAGGTATAAAAGATTAAACCCATCTACCTTTGTAGGGGCATCCTCTTTCAAAGAGGCCGAGTATTGGTTAGCTGAGATAGAGAAGGCTTTCATGACTCTTGGGATGGTTCCTAAATAAAAGGTGGTACTTGCCACCTATATGCTCGTGGGAGAGACAGGTCGCTGGTGGCAGTTCAAGTAGGCTACCCTACCCATTTTAGTTACTTGGGAACAGTTCTTAATGACCTTCAATGCAGAGTACCTCCTAGAGCACCCTTGGCATCTGAAAGAGAGGGAGTTTGCACACCTAGTATAGAGCGATATGACAGTGTTAGAGTATACCTGAGTTCCTAGAGTTGGGCCAGTATTCCCCTGAGAGTATGATAGATG